CTTAGTTCACCACATGAAGAGCTGCATTGTGGCTTGTTTTTGGAGAGCACATAACTTGTTTAATGAACAGCCAGAAATCATGAAAACAAGTTTAAAACGGGCACAAGTGAAGGTGAACTTTTCCATCCCTTGCACAATAACTATATGCTTACATTGAAGACTATGCTAACATTTAAAATTTCTTGCTATACAGTCAATGATAGCTCCATTCTTCTTTCCTATTACACGTAACTTGAGGATTGTTAATGGTAAAAGCTTATATAACCATCACTTCCAATTTTGAAGGCAAGTGTTAAACCCCACCTTCTGAGCTTACCAGAAAGCTCATTTCAAAATATTCCCAGTATAGCCTTGTATCTCCTCCACCTCCCGTGAAACAGCTTCTCATCAAGTAGCCTTCTGAACTGGGTATATTATCCACCCCAACATTTCTCTATGAACATATGCTTTTTTACTTCACTTCTTTTTAGTGTCATAATTGCTATGATGGAGCATCAGGATGTTCAAAAATGAAGAAACCAGAACATACACAGACAAACTTGATGCAACATATGCAAGAACATTCAACAAGGGAAATAAGAGTCTTGCTGCATTGAATTAGACAACAAAGGACAAGGAGTTTAAAGAAAATTGGCACTAATAGTAAAAGTGTGTTCTGGATTGCATAAAGCAGTCTGCAGTATTTTTCACACAGAACTGGAATAAGGTAAGGGGCACATGAAAGCTGCTACACAAAGAAACATTTTTTCTCACTATTTTACTTGGAGAATTACAGAATTCTCTACAAGCATGAAGACTTAATGCTATACATTAGGCAAATAAAGTACAAAACAGTTTCAGAATATAAGTAGTGGGATAAAAAAAACCCCTTTCTCTTTCTAAAACTTCAATCGTGACTTTACTTTTCTCCCTCAACATATCATTGGTGCTGTAATTTGTGTGTCCTACTTGTACACTCATTATTAACTTTGCATAAACAGATGTGTAATTAGGACAGCACAGTAGAAATAGCCACGACTGGTATTTAAACAATAAGATGTTGAAATCTTTAACAATATGACTGCACTTTAGAAAAAAAATAAAGCAAATGTTTGAACTCCTCTAGCTACAGAGAGCCTCTTGGCGGCAAAGACTACTTTCTTCTTTAAACCAATCAAAAATATGAAGATAGTTATGGTGAACATTTAAACACACAATTTCCTACAAAAAGCAATTGAGATGAACCCTATTTTGAGTTCAGTTAGCAGAAGGGCTTTTTTTTTTTTTTTTTTTTTAAATCTGCTGTATAATTACAGTATACAGCAGATGCTTTTTTCTTGTAAAAAATCAGAAGTTAATTTGGTCATCAGCCTACACTGTTACTATAAAGTTTCTTTCTTGCAAACACTTTTGTTAGTAAATCTGAGTCAGTGCATTTCTGCTTTACAGTTACGTTTCATGTTATTTTACAGCACAGACTGCAATCTTTTACTCCTCCTTTGTACCTCTTGCAAAAAATAGTATCTGCAGTAAATGAAATTCCAGTGAGTGAACCTTATCCCAGTACTGCTCCTCCCCCAAGATATTTCAACATTTTAAAAATACACTTTAATAATTTATTTTATTTTGGATATCTCTATCAGCTCTTTTTGTACATCTACCCAATGACTATTCAAAAAGTGTTACTTCGATGCAGGCTGCTACAATATGGAGCTACTAAGAGACAGAAATGTCAGCACCCCTAATACATAGTTATAAAGGGAGGGGAGGAAAATTTCACGTTCCCATAAATAGCTTCTGAAGGCAGCTAAGAGCAGTCTCCCTTGCTGGTATTAAAAAAAAAGCTCTACCTGGGACCACGGTAACATCACTATGAAGCTTAAAGTAACACCTTTCCATTTTCTGTGGTACCTATGACCTGCATATCAGTAAATGGAAAAATAGGTATATGATACATAAGTAGCTGATATACAATCTCAGAATACTGAAAAAAAAAAAGCTATCTTCAAAATCTGAAGGAATGCAGCACAGAAAAGTGTTCATTTCGATACATGTACCATAATTAGTAGGCTTGTTAAGCAAAATACAAACATGATTTTATTCAGATAAAACTAGCATCAGCTAAATAATTAGTATTTTATTTAAGACTAATAATATTGCCAGTAGGACTGACATTATGTGAGAAAACTATGTGCATATATTTAGCAGCTACATTTACTAATATATTCATATAATTATTGCATACTCACATTAGATGAGAGACTGATTCATTTATTTTGGACTACACTCAAAATATCAGCCAACTGAAGGTTAAATAGGGTTTCACATGCAGTGAGGAAATATCAATGTAAATGATATTTTAAGAATAAAAATATCTAAATATATCTGTATTTTAGATACAAATATCTAAATAAAAGTATCTAAATCTAAGTATCTAATGCAAGATTTCTTCACTACAGTTAAAAAATGAGGCATGTATTTCACTGTACATCTTCACATCCTTTTTTTTTTTGAAAACCAACCCTTTAAACCAACTCCTTGAAACCACATACATGCATTCATTTTATGAGATCTACACAATATCCCAGCAATTCTACAGAGAGTAACAGCATAGCACAATAAACACTACAGCTGTCAAAATAATTTCTGGTGAACACACTCAATTTGATTTCTCATTTTTAAAAGCAACAAGAAATTTCACCAAAGACTAACCACCAATAAATTAATTAATTATCAAATTGTTTATGGATATATTTTCTTACTTTTGAACAACAGATCTCTACACAGTACCTGAACCTGCTCGTTCTCTGGAATAAAACTTCACTTTAAACAGTTACTTCCAATTTGAAAGTTTCCTCATGATTTCAGTCTCTTAATATATTAAACATTTGGGAAAATTCACTGTAACTTCTATGGCTTTAAAGCAGCACAATGGAGTAGGTCATTATCAATAGGCTACAAAGAAAACCTATCGAGGTCATTACTAAATTAAGATGAACTGCTGCCTTGCAAAAATAAAAGGATGGACAACATTAAACATAATATAGCTATACATAGAAGTAAATTGGCAGATGTTAATGTTGGGACAGATGCTAGTAGTAGACGAACTTTTAGATAAAATTATATGACTCAGAGCACATTCAGTCAGCTCTGGAAAGAGGAAAACATGTCAAAATATTTGTGTGAAATAAAACACAGACCAAGCTGCACATAATGACAACTGACAAATTAGACTTCTTCCTTCATCCAAAAATAGATATCAAGACGCTAACTGCATGGAACATGAGTTTATTTTTCAATTTCAGAGGAAGAAAGAAAAAAGTTATAATATTAACTTAGAAAAATCCCTAAACCAAACATCATTCTTATCACTGGCTTGTATGTTTCATCCATTTCCTCCCACATCTTCTATTTGCCTTTTTAATTAGGTACTCACATAGCTTTGGGGCTACCTTCACGGAGAGGGACAATTTTATCACATGCAGATCACTATAGCAAGAAAACTGCCAACAAAAAATGTGAGGTCTTACGCTACTAACTGCTTCTGAGTTACAAAACTAACTTAAAACTTGTATAAAGCAACACTGAGAATTTATTCCCCATACTGGGAAACAGACCAACACTGTCCTTCCAGCCATCCTTTAGAACACATCAGGGACACGACCAAGCAGAATGACATTAACAAGACATTGCTACAGTAGCTTCCTAGAGGTTGATGCAGCCAGATGTACAGAAGAGCTGTCTTGACAAACAAGGGTTATAAGGACATCTTTGTTGCCTGCTTTGGACCTGAAGAGAAGACGTAGGCTTAAACCTCCTAAGGTTAATGTAACAACTATTTGCAACATACCTGTGCAGTACTGTAAACTGTCTGATACAGCCTGTCCATTTTTATCTTGCACAGAATCTTCACGTTGAAATTCATCCAAGCTATAAAAAGAAAGTTATAGTATATATATATTTAAAACCTATTTAACCTGAAACACCATGCAGCAAAACTTCAAACCTTGACAGATTTCTAGTGATAAATGATACAAGCTTGAATGAGTGAGCAGTAGTACCTGGCTTCATATCACAACACTTATAACAGCTTGACATAATGAGACTTACTATGCTCAGTAAATCAGTTTTGAAGAGCTTAGGACAAGAACTGCTGTGTTTCTTCGCTTTATGAAGTAGATTGGAAAGTATTTTACACTCAAAAAACAGTGTTTGTTGCCCTCTACTGGACACCTACTGGAAATAGCATGCGTGACACTAAAAGCTGAACATCACAGACAGCCAACAGGTTTATGATTCGATTCTAAAAAACGGTTGCACAGCATGCTGCTGCACTTTCATATCAGCACCCTTCAGCAGTCAAAAACAAAGCATGAACAGAGCCGCATCATCACTCCAGAATCCAACATGACAGAGAAATTCCAAATATATTTTTTCCTTTGGACATACTACCCTGTTGTAACAATCAGTTCACTCAAGCAAACTGGATTTTTGTTATACTTTCGTTTTTAAGCACAACATTTTTAATTAACGGTAAGCAACTATTCTCTAACAATCTCTAATCAATTACCTAGGATATTATGCAGGAGAAAAATGTAACAGATACTCTGCCGCCACAAGATGGTAAAATAAGCTCTTAGGCCCATTTAATCTTTTCTTCTTTGTTCCATTCCTCTTATTATAAACTCACCATGATGTCTGAATAAACTTAGGAAAAAGACTATCTTGATTATCTTGCATCACAAACAACTGAGATATGTCTGGCAAGACTTTGGCAAGGTACCATTAAAATTCCAGACTACCAAAGCAGTTACTAATAAAATATTGTAACTACAAATACACAGGGACAATAGACAGACAGTGAAAAAGGAATCAAAGACGAGCATGCTGTGTAGTGGGACATTCTGTATTTCGGTCATAAGGATTTACAGGTCTTTTTCAATTTTTCCCATTTAATACTAGGATATATCTTGAAAATTTCATGTCAATGTTTCATAGCAAATGGAAAATACCTAAAATCTAGTGAAAAGATAAAAGGAAATACATTGTGGTTTTTGAGTATGAAAGTACATTTTATGAAATGCACCATCATCATGGTGTGGGCTAAGTACTGGAGCGACCTTCTTGTGACCTCCACCTCTAGGCACAAAAGGATCCTTTCAGGTTTCAGCCACCTAATTTTGTAAACAAAAAAAGCTGCCACGTAAAGATCTTTAAAACAGCACGACCCTAATTGCTTCCTACCACCCACCCAAGCTTCTGAGCAGAGTTGTGTTGAAAATGTTGGTAAATGAAAACTTGTATGTGTTTCTATGTGACTTTGTAGTCCAAAGTATTTTTCAAATTTTGAGGTCCAGGGCAACCTCTGAAAGATACATGCAAGATGCCAGATCTAAGTTTATGCAATGGCATTTTTATGTTTTCTGATGAAAGGTAGCAGGAAAGTTTGCCTCTTTCTAAAATGATAATTCAGTAATTACACTGTGCTTTCTATGGTATTACGTCTAGATAAAAGAATGTTTCCATGAAAGTAGTATCTTATAAAGAATTAATTCCTTTTACAAGAACCATCATGGAAAGTAATTACTGTGTATGCGTAACAATAAATTAAACATTTACATAACAGCTCTGTTAATACACTTTCAAGCCATTAGAATACATTTTCAAAAGTATTAACAAAAGTAGTCTAATTAAAAATTAATGCCCACAAAACTAATTTTCACTGTCCAGACTCGGACTTCTCCACAAGAGGCATGACAACCTAGCACAATGTTAGGAAAAGCTTGCTCAGAAATCAACATGTCAAGTTAGATACTGCCAGCTTCCCTCTTCATTAAAGCAGAGGATTAAACCAAGTCATGCTGCTGACAAGTTGTTATTATGGAAATGGTTTCTTTTTCTTTTAAAATTGTCTAGTTTTGGAGGTGAATAGGCTCTGATTTACAGCTAGTAGAGCCTCTGAAAAATATGAAAATAACTTGTCACAATTTTTCCCCAACTTCTTTCACAGATCTGTACCGGGATGATTTCTCCTACCTGCCCGACATGCTATTCCTTACAGGACTGCTTTGTGCTGGATGTGTGTACAGCGTAACTGGAGCGAGGCTCGTAAGGGAAACCTACTTGTCTATACACACAGTTTATATGTTTCTTTGCCAGCCAGTATGTCTGCAAGCCACCTGATATAACTCATACTCTTCCATTTACTGCACTATGCTGTGGCTGTTGTATACCGAAACACCCACCTTCCTATTTTGCACATGACAGCTTTATGAGAACTTGTGCCGTGCCAAATTTGCTATTCCCAGTCTGCATTCTGCAGACTCCCCTTTTCACAGATGCCCACTTGCAAAAAAGCTTTTATTCAGTATTTCCAGATGCACTGGTATTCACCTTTTCAGTCATTTTACTGTAAAGTATTGTCAACGAAAGTAACATTAATCAAAATAGGTGGCAGATGACTACTTTCAGAAAATATTGGGAAAATAAGCATGTCTTATGCTTCACACCTATTTCCTAAGCACTAGGACTAAATGGGATAAAAAAATTGAGAAAGAAAACAGTTACAACTTGTAGCTATGCCCAAATGATGCAAGGGATTAAAGTGCCTCAAAACAACAAAACAAAACACCCCAATCACTGATATAACTGGTAAAAGTCTTATTTTATAGACTGGTTTGAAATCAACTTGACTCAGCTGTCATGACACCATTATTGTATATGCATCTACCATGGTAAGTGACAGAGAAACCAAACAGCCTCCTACAATAATTTGACAAGTCTACACAAATTGATTGTCGATATCTACCAATTCCTCCCTGTGAAAAAGTGGTCTGAAGGAAATGTCAAATTCTGGGAAACTTTCAGTCATTCAAACCTCAAGCAGAATTTCCCCATATTATAGAATACCCATCCCTTAGCTCTCATCAGAGGGAAGGGAAAAAGGAGAAAAGGGTCTAAGTTACATATAGATTTAGAAGTGAAACTGCAAGGATAGAAGCATACAAAAAAGTTACTTTTAAGCAGTGTGGAGGGTAAGCATGTAGTGCACCAGCAACTCCATGGTAACTGCAGTGCTAAACTTACAAAAGATTAAAATGTTAAGAAAACTACTGTGTTGTTTTTCACTTCCACATAAAAATAAGCCTTTCTGAAATTCCTGACCATTCCCTGTTCACAATAAACTATCAATTAAGCCATTTTGGGGTATATTAAATGCTTAAAAGTATATTTATGTTGAATGTCTGTACTAGCAAGGATATAAATATCAACAATAATATCAAATTAACCAGTTTCCTCTTACCTTGTCCTTTCTGAAACCCTTAATAATCAGGTAAGTTACCTCAGAAATGTATGAACTGAGGCTGTCAATAAAAAGCCTTAAAATAAGCTTCTACTGTTTAAAACCAAAAAAACTTAAAAAACGCAACCACATGCTGAAAAACTACACAAAATATTTGATGCAAAATAATCTAAGCTAGAATATGTACTTCAAAATATATCTTTACTGTTGTTATTTCATCAACGTATTAAAACACTTCAATGAGAGCTGACATTCTGCTACTTCTAAGCAACAGAATAGAAAACAATGCAATTTTAAGGTATGTCAGGCTGACTTTCTATTTTTCTTCTGCAGTTTGGAGAATTCAGCACAACTTCATAGTTAATTACAGAAATACACAAGTTACCTTTTAATTATATAGAGTGAAACAGCTTTCCATAATCCAACACAGACTTTCTCCTCCTTTAGTTGGGGTTCTAGCACTAATGGCATAGAGTGGACACACAGGTAGCGAGGAGAGTAGCAGATTGAGAAAAGCAGAGAAGAAAGTAAACATGCCTTAACTTTTTGCTTCACTTTTAAGAAATGGGGAGAAAACATTCTTCCCACCCTCCACCCCCAAGAAAAAATGGAACATTTCTCAGCAAGCGAAAGAAAACAGGATTCCTCACATTCCAAAAAACTCCTGATTTTCCTATGGATTTGTGCCACAAGTCCCTGCAAACTCCTGCACCACCTGCAGAGACGTGACCTTAAAGCCAGTTGTCACGCTTTTAATGAACGGGCCGCAGAGCCAGGCAACCATTTCCCCTAGAAAATGCAGTATCTACCAAGAGGACCAGAGGAAATAACAGACATTTGGGCTCAGAAGAGTCTCATTTATCCCACAGAAAAAGCTATTGCAAATCAGCTTCCAAGAGATGTTTCTCAAGACAACAGGTATGTTTGTAGGGCAGTAATACTGGCAGAACGGTCAACAACTTATGATCAACTCTATCATTACTATTGTTGCTATAGCCCTAGCACCATGATTCTTTGTTTTAGCGGGGAGGGAAGAGGTGCTAAAAGTAAACTAAAGCAGGATCTGAGGGGTATACGTACTCATGACAGAAGCCCAAATCACCACTGCCAGAAAAACCAAACAGCTGACATTACTGACACCAAAGAGTTCAAACATTCAAGCTACCCAAGCTGTGTTTGGAACAAATGACAAGAATTTAAGGCCCTTAAACAAAATGCACAAAGGAAAGTAGCTTTTTACCCCAGACTAGCAAATAACAACACTCATTCAGTTTTCTTAATAATTTCCCATTTGTAGTTATCTCATTAGGTTCCAGACTTGTCAGGGCTCTGGATTTGAAATTCCTACCTGGATTTTTTTTTAAAAAAGAAATCCTTCTCTGGATCCAAACTGAGTTCAATGAAGACTGAGTGTCAGGTAGTGGAAGGAGCCAAGTGGCTTCTCAGGGACAACTATACTTACACCTCTGTAGTACCACAGATGATGTATAGCTCAACCACCACCAGCAAATCCATTAATGCTATTACATTGTTCACTCTGCTTGCTAATCATGCATCCCTCCCTCCTACCTTTGACTTTCCTACTTAAACGGTAATCTCTCTGAAACAAAGACTACATATATTACTCTGCTTACCACGATGGACCCCTGTTACTATAGATTCTCTAAGTAGCACTAGTAACAGTATAAAAATATGTTCAATAACATACTCAAAATTATGTTTCTGAATAAAATAATCCAATGTATTTAAACTAGAATCAGTGCAAAGGAAGCGAATAGAAAATATTAAACTCTACCCTGATCTGTTATTTCATTTCACTTCCATACAGATTCTTGACCTGTAAAAGTTTCACTTCAAATATCTTTGTTTCATCATTGCAATTATTTAACATAGTTAACTTCACATGACTTACCCAAATTTTCTTCTTGCAGACCGTGTGAAATAGGGGTAAGATGATACAGGAATAACAGATGCACTCCCCCTTAAAGTAGGAAATTCACCATTATTTTACAGTATTTAGTTAAATGGAAATACACAAACCAAAGAAGATGCATGTTTTTCTTTCAGGCAGAACAAACCTAAGACACTCAAATGCTGGAATTTTCCTTATGGAATGGAAATCCACTAACACTGTGGATACAGTGTTACTGTAACACTGCCAAGACAGAACTTCTATTCAGCAGGGTTTTCTTAGTCTTAAGTTTTCATTCACTCCTACTTATATTTCATCTTATTTTCCCTCAAAATACTTTGAATGCCCACCCTCTTCCCACATCATGACTTTGGATGTGAAAAGTCAAGATGAAAAATATACCCTTTACAGCATGAGAAATCCACTAAAAAAAAAAAAAAAAAAAAAAAAAAAAAAAAAAGACATGATGAGCTAGATTTTTGCAACATTAAACCTGTCAATGTATTCACCAGGCTCTTAATACTAAGTATGGGTACATTAGATTTTGCACAAACATTGCAACAAAGGGCAATCTTATACAAGATTATTCTTGAACCTAAAATAGTTCTATCAGGCAAATTATTTTGTCTTAATCCGTTTCCTTATATCAGACTAATATCCTTTGTCTATGTCTGACTAGATGCAATACAATTTCATGAAATCCCATCACAAGCAGAACCATAGCGCTACAAGTTATTTCAAGCCTTTAGGTTAGCACATGACCACCATCTACTTGCCCTTCTGACAGCAAGTTACAGCTACATGCAGTACATGCCATTAACCAGAAAGAAAAATATAAGTATGTTTGAAATTAAGGAACAGGTATACCAGATCCTGATTCTACATTTTCAATGAAGAAATCTTATTTCCCCACACCACTGTAACTGTTGGTTGTTCCATGACTGTCACTAAACTATATATGGTTCAACTATTAACTACTTCTATTTCAAATCTGTGAGATTAACAACAAAGTAGCATAAATATTAATCAGAAGAGAGCATTGCAAACCAGACACCTGCTTTAATCAATCCTTCATTAGCCTGAAGAGTTACAACCGTCATCACCTGATTCTAGGAAAAGTACCTAACTACCTTTTAAACTACATATGCTTTTAAAGCTTTCTTAGATATCTCCTATGGCCTGGGCTTTGAACCAGTTTCCGTAAACACTTTTTAGAAGATCCACTACATATTTATGAGGAGAGCTTACTGTTCTGCATCTGTATTTAATCTGCACGGTATCTTTCTCTTGACTGAACTCTTTTTTGACAGTAGAGCTTGGCGCTGATGTTGTTCCCCAGGAGTGCAATGTGGCCCCAGAAAAGACTTAACTTCTTTATTTTGAAGGTTGGTGTTTTTTCCCTTGTGAACACAGTCGTCTTTGGACATAGGAGAACTTTCAAGAGACTGAGAAGTATCTTTCTGCAACAACAGTTAATTGTTTAAGAGTTTCAAAGCACTCAAAGCTATTGCTTCCAACTCAAAAACCTGCAAGTTTTAAAGTAACTTTTAAAGGAACAGAACAATTTAGCCTACCTTCTGCAATTCACGTTATATCTAGCAGAAATTATTTTCTAATCACATTAGTAAGATAAATTCTGTCTAGAAAGTGACAGTGAGCATGTTGCAGTAGTTGCTTCTCCCACATTCAAATTTACATTAGGTTATCCAGTCAGTCAAACTAGTAACTTCAGTCATGTAGTTTTACGGTGGACTGTCATAACACTTTCAGAAAAGCACTGAATAATTGCTATTTAAAAAGTTCTAAACTATGACTTTCAAAAATTTTGCTCTCAAAATAGCAAATGAAGTTAATAAAGAAACAATGTAATTAGGTTCTGAACTCAAATGCAAAATTCTCCATTCTAGTTATGATCATAGTTGCTGAAGTGCTATAGCATTAATTCTCAAACACTGTACCTGAGCAAGTTCTGCTCCTGAGGCTTCTTCAGCTGCGTTGCTACAGCTGATGTATCTTATGGCACTAATTATTCCCTGAACAGCAATCCGCTTGTGTTCTCTGTAATGCAAATCTTCAATCTCTTTCCCCGTTTCACCTATGGCTTTCAAAACCGATTCGACTGCAAAAAAGAAAATTCCAGAAACAACTTTTAAAGAAATACAATATCAAACTGTCTGGACACAAGACTGAAAAGTAAAGATAATTTGGTATTAAATATTAAATTATTTTAAAATTACATTTTTGAAGAATTTTAAATATTTTTGTTGTTCACATCACATGGAAAAAAATTTAATCAATAAATCTTTTTAGCTCACAAGCATCTTTTAGTATGCATTACAAGATATCACAATTTCTGTTTCAGGTGAAATTTCTAACTCGCTGTATTCTTCAGTATAACTGTCTTTAATTCTGATTTAGCAGAACATTCAGAGTAAAACTTCTGGGCAGATCTGTAGCTCATGTAAGCTGCTACAGTTCTCCTGCAGCTAATGGTGCCATGATACTTTCTGTAAGATGAGGATTTAACCTGTGATACATTGAGTCATGAAAGGGAGTTTTTCTAAATGACATTACAACCTCGTGTAATTGCCAATAGTAACTGTGTTGCTTTTTAACTGATGCTTCAAATGCTTGGAGTAAGACTGAACAAGGCTACAAATCTTAAAGATATTTGATGGTATGATACCTTTATTGTTTTTGCAATACTTCAAAAAGTTATTTGGAGGTCGTGGAAAAGGATAATAGCCACCAATGACAGTTTTCTTCATTTGATCAGCTTCGCTTTGTGTTTTAGTCCACTGAATGAAGTTTTTCACTTTGGTATCCTTGGTGTATGGCTGGCCCTTGTGCCACCCTTTTAAAACAAAAATAATCAGGTATCAAAACCAAAGCAGGTTACTGTCATCCGTTCTCATCTTGAAGCTATCCTGAACACTACGTAGAAAAAGCAAATTAAGAAAAACTGGACTAGAGAATACAAAAGACACCTTTCCACTAGTCGACAGTGTTTTATGAAATGAGTGTCTTGAATTCCTTGACTAACACTTGCATTTGGCACTGAAAGTTAAACAAATGTTAAGTAATAGAAAGAAATAAAGCAACTAGCAAAAATGCTACTAGAATACTTTCTCACAGGAACATACAAAACAATCAAGTGATCAGAAATTGTTTTATTAGCAGGAAAGAGCAGCTAAATCATCTTCACAGGGTTCAGCAAAGGTTGTTACTGACAGATAACTGGCAAGGTATGTATTCATTGTTGGCTGGTTTAAAACCAAGATATGGACTAACACCAATTTTATCAAATAAATTGTAATCTGACCAGGTCTACATCTAAACTGTGAACTGAAACAGATCTTATCCAATAGTTTGCAATCTCCAGCTGTAGCTCTCATTTACGACCCAAACAGACATAAAATGAACTAAAGCTAGGGTGGGGGAAAGCCTAAATATTTAACTAGAAAATTAAGCACAAAATATACTGAAGGAAAGCAAAGGGAAAAAACAACCTCTCAAACCCTTCATTTAGGAGTAAATTAAATCATTAGAAACCTCTTCACAAAAAGGCTACCTTGCTTTGCTAGTCCAATTAAGCACCAAACACCCTACCCAGCTTGTCAGGCAAGACCATGTGTATAGAACTGACTATGTTCAGGTACCTTTTTAGCACATATTTTTATTTATTCCTACTTGTCAGTGGAAAGATTCAGACTGGGTGACTGATACGTTAGGATCACTAAAGAAATGAGCTGGATAAACCAACACAGGAAAGATACACCTATTGCATCTTAAACTCCCTTGCAATTAGGCCAGTACATCACTCACCTGCAACACTGCTATAATCTGCCTCCTGATTCAAGAGCAAATATAATATGAACAGCTGTGCCTGGTCCTGCCTGTGACATGCTGACTGGTGGTATCTAGTGTACAGTATCACAGGGCCATAAAGAGTATTGTAACTGCAGATGGGACTATTCAAACAAGACTATCTAGAAGGAATGCTCCTTCAGGGCAGCCCAGCACTACATCACTTCCCAGACCACGTGGTCTGCATAAAGCCCTGCACGTTGGGAAAGATGAAGCGTAACAGCTCTCCAAATAGTTGGTGAAAAAGATTAGCTAAGATAAATTTAGAACAACTATACCCATATTTTTTTTTGTTTTGTAATAAGGAAATCTGTAAGCCAGAAAAGCTCCAAGTGATTTTTGAAGTTTATAAGGAAGCGGTTATCTGCATTGCTACACTATCAAAGGATTAAAACAGTCTGAAAGAATTAGTAAACATACTCAGGTACTTTTCATAAGATACACCCATTAATGCTTCACAAGAATGCAATGGTATTTCATTATTAACTCAAAGTAATTTCTGACAAGGAAACTAATACTATGCACTGATTATTTCATTGTAAAACAAAAATACCCTTTCCAAACAAATAAGATGAGAACTACATAAAACTAAAACGAGTTCAGGTTACCTGTAATGAATATTTGACTTTCATTTGAAGTCGTAAGGTAAATTGTGCTGGAAGGATTCTCAGTGAGGTCCCGTACCACTCTCATCTGTGTACACACCAAATATGTCACTGGAGAAAAAAAAAATCGTTTGTTTTTTTTTTCTGGTATTTCATTGATTTTAGAATGTCAAGACTGACATTTAGTGCTCTAAACAAGACATTTTAGTTTTTGACCCTACAAATGCTTCAGCATGTACTGAGCCGCCATTATAAATTACAATATGGAGATGTAATTAAATTTTCAATTTAGTAACCGTGCAAGGAAATTTCAGCATACGTATTAGGACTAAAACATGAAATACTTGATCAGGTAGGATATCAATGAAACAAATAGTAAAAATATGAAAATTAGATGGCTGTGTTTCTTAAGGAGAAAAAGCATAAAATCATGGAAGGCACAAGAAATCTGACATTACACTGCAAAACTTCTAAATAGAGTACAAACTCATTCTTTTGTTAATATTTCAGTTAAACACTAGAATGTCATTCTTTGCCATTTCCCCAGCACGCTCAAGATGAATGCAGCCATAACCTTAACAGGGCTGTGCAGCTGGTCCCGCATCGTATGATATTAAAAATGCCATCATATGATAGAAAAAATGCATGTGACACCAACCAGTCTTAATGGAAGGATGACTGCTTGGAGGAGAAGAGAAAGAAGGCAAGAAGAAATATTTAAAGCTCTTCTAAAATCCTTCATTAAGGACTCTCCAGTTTGAAATTTATTGTTCTTAGCTCACATGCAATAACTAACACAGATGGGTGATATTGCTGTTTGGCCAAAAAATATTTATTCAAAGAAATGAAGCTTTTCCACTTTCACCTCTTCCGTCTTCCAATCCTCTTAAATTATTCCTGTCTATAAAAAAAAAAAATACTTATTTACAGGACAAAAGGAGTAATAGATTTGACCAGCTGCCACCTTTATTTGCCTCTGATGCAAGAGATGTTGCCCCAGGTGCTTCACTTAAGTTTCTGTTGAAATTGATGAGATCAGATGAGCCCCAGGCCCAGCTGCCCATCTATTTGCTTAGACTAACTGGCAGATTGCAATACCACAAGAGTTTCAAATACTTAAACTTTTTTTTTATTATTTTTAAATTTTAATTGCTGATCAGCTATTTTCTGTTTAAGGAGACAAACCAGGGCAATTTTTTATTCAGTGGCAATTATACTCAAAATTTGAAATTAGCAACCAACTAGAAAAACACTATAAATAATTGTTAATAAGTATTATAGAGAGATGAATACTTGGGTGAATATGCTCAAACACATCTGGCTGAGAAGTTGCAAATAATTCCAGTATGAATGGTTGGTCTGAGGTCCCATCAATGGCATGTGCCCAACGATAGAGCCAGAAGTCTTCACCATGTTCTATATAAACAAACATTAAGAAAAATGTATAAGCATTTATTCAGAAAGTTAAAACCGTTTGACAAACTCTGAAAGTCATATTTATAGAAAAAAACCTCTCTTTCTTGCTCGTTCAGCCCTTCCTACAAATGTCACAAGACCAATAACATCACAGGAATGATTGTTTGGCAAGTCATCCAGTTCTGACCTAAAACCAAAACAGAACAAAAACGTGGGTATTCATTAATAACAAAACATAAAGCTTTCTCAGAAACTTTTCAAAAAATGTTTCCAATTAACATTCACTGTAATGTAGTGAAATTTAAGTTCCAGCTTGACAACCAGCAGAACTCTATTTTACCTTGTGATAAACCGATATTTAACTTCAGGTAATCCCCACTCTGGCTTAACTGTTTCTTCTGGAATAATACTTATTTTAGTAGGAGGGTCTCGGACGTTAAGGCTGATTTCTGACAAAGGAAAAAAGTCAGTAACATTTAAGGCATGAATACAAATTAAAAAAAAAAAAATTAATACGCCCCCTCCCCGCCCCCAAGAAAACCCAACAGGGTAAAGTTTCTTAAATGCAGTATTCCAACTTTGTCTCACTGCTTGTGAAATTATTACTCAATTCCTCTGACTTTTATATTTTCATCAAAATAAAATAAGGACTTCGGGTACAGCATTCAACACTGCAGTTTTATAATCTGAGCAATGTTAAACTTTCCAATTCCCTACATGAGCTGATTAATTTGATCCAGCCAGATACTTTAAAAACTAGCAACAGAAACTAATACTACAATACTGATTAGATATGAAGTATTTTTTATGCTAGTTTCATTCTCAAATGTCAGTAAGATCTAAAATTGACTTGCAGGCAATGAAGTAAAACAGAAGACAGAACTATCAGATGAGAACTTCCACACCTGATACCAGTTCAGGTAATTATTATGATAGGAATACACCATGGCCATGGAAAAAAACAAAAGGTCTTCTCATGTCTATTCTATAGCACCTGAAAAATTTAATTCATTAAGCAGACTGCTTAGACGATGAATAGCAAACATGGTGGAGCACTGGGGGAAGCGGGGGGTTCTGCAACCACATAAAAAATACAGGAGGAATGGCTTCAGCATCTAGAATACACAAGGAGGTACTCTATTGTCTCTCTCATAACAAGACAAATCATGCTGGTACGAAAAAGATTCTGATGAAGTTTCTACAAGATACGTGGGTTTGGGTAAGGGGTTATTCAAATAATGCAGCCAGAAAAGTAATTAAATAGGTATAAATAATGTATACAATTGTTTATATAATTATATCTGGCCCCTCACCCTAGCGGTGCAACATTAAGAAGGTATTATGCTTTAAATCAGACCCTCTACTTAAGAATTTTCTTTTGCATGCTGCTTTCTAGAAACGTATTTGGAGGACAATCGTGGTTTTGCATATGGTGTTTTAGGATAGTATCTCAGAGAAAATTCCTGAAAACAATTGTTTTGCCATTTTGAGATTAGATGAAAGTCATATACTCAACTCAGGACTACACCCTCGGATGATTCAGTAGCTAAGGTCAGTCCAGGCTATTTGAAACAGCAGTTTTCATCAGTACCACATAAATTCAGTGATCTGTGAAATGCACACATTGCCTAGCAGTAGAATTTAAGGTGTTGGTACTAAGTATTTAAGCTCAAAAGGTTTTTGGTCCTGAAACAGCGCCTCTCAACATGTCATACAATGCTGTAGCTGCAAACAGAAACAAGCAACGCAAAACTCGCTTCACAGAAATCTAGGAATATGCCAGAAGCATACTGCCTTGCAAGAACTCTTAATTTGGAAAGCCCTATCCCTTGTGGCCTTGTTAACATTCCAGATATATTTTATGACATTTACAGGTGAATGGTTGTAAGGAAACACTGGAAAGTTGTGATTTGATGGAAATACAAATTGGAAATAGAGGATGAAAAAAGTAATTGTTACTTAAGCAATTCAGTGTAATTGATTGCTTTAATCAGCTAGCTGAAGAACTTTTGGAGCACTCGTGCATGATTAAAAAAAACTAAACTATTGTCCTGTATTGGGCATATACAGAGATATTTATATTAAAGCAGTAATTAGTAAGGCATTAAATTTCATTTCCTCTGGGGGAAGGGGAGGAATAAATGCACCAGGAGCTGCATAAAATCGATTTTATAACTGCTCCAGAATTTTTTCTGGATATTCTGTTCTCTTTAGACTCTCTTCTTACAAGATATATGGGGCATAAGATCCACCAGTGCATGGTATTATGTGCTTTGCAAGGTCATATCAAGACAAAATTCTGAGCTTTGTGCTGAGAAAAGAAGCAAGATACTGTACGTAAATTGATATGAACTGAAGATTAGTAATTTCTACAGTTTATCTGTGGTCTGAAAATACTGTGGTCTGGCACTTTACTATAGACTGACGTTTAATTCTTCCATTACACATATATTACCATTTACAGCCCATTGGCCTAATTTTCCATTTTGATCTCCTCATTAACATTTCTACCCCAATAACGCTTGCACAAATCAGTAGTGTAGTGTGAATGAAGCCATTAAAATGAAGCAATATTTGTTCATAGAGAAAGTCACCTCAGATGACATATTTTATTCTGTCCTCCCACAGAAAGGTTTTGTGGCAATTATAATTGTTTTCAGGGGTGGCTTGTGATCATCACCAGCTTCCCTCACAAACTTCCATTCCTGACTAAACATTTCTCTCTCCTGCCAACTCATCACAAACACTTCAGACATTAAGATCTGGCTTTAAGGCAAAGATACGTTAGGCAGAGAATACACTGCTTTTAGCAGTGGAAAATATTGTTTATTTTTGTGCACTGTAGCAACTGCATTAGGAAACTGTCATTGTTAGTAGGTTATACATACATCATCCTTCACTAACACGCGTATTTGCTTGTTTCAAAGAAGTATTTTGAATTTTCTGAATGTTGGCCGTCATTTTGTTCTGAGTATAAAAGCACAAAAGGGGAAAGAACTCATGTTCAGTAAAGTAGGAGAGAAGGAAAAAAAAAAAAAGTTGACCAAATCCAGTTTAAAAAGGCTATTATTGTTATATTGTAGCACTTGTATTTCTGTAGCATAGCTCCTTTGAATATCTGTCACACTAAACAACTGCAAGTAAGAAAACACTTTCTTGTAGCCAAGGAATATTCTTCATATATGCACTCCCATGGTGCTGCTGTTTCAGCACAGACAGCAGTCATCAATGCAACTTTTTATCCAGTGGAGCTTTGCAGATACTCTGGGCCTTGACCATATTCACTAAAATCTAAAGTCAGATCAGGTGACAACGTGCTTCAGTGACCTGGAAGAAGGTGCGAGCAGTGCACAAACAGTATCTGTATTATTAATCAGGAAGTAGAATCAGATTAAAATTCAGTACCAGAGGCCTGTCTTTATGACCCCAATACTTGAAATCAGGGATTAGATTTTTATTTATTTATTAGTAAATAAACGTTTTAACTAATTCTGGCAATAAACTTTGTAGACACGATCCTAATATACGCAGGGAACAATAAGAACTTGGATGCTAAGACACCTTTCAGAGCTAATGTTTAAGGATAAATACCTTATCAATTAGTCTCAGCAAGGGATCACTTTCTATTTCATTGCTATAAACAGCTACCTTTTTACAGCTACATTTCATTTAATCAAAACAGGTTTCTGCAATACTTAACCAATTGTAGCAAATCTCTTCATCTGTGAATCCCCTGGGGTTGGCTGTGTTTTAAATGGGTAACTGGTTTTGATAGCATACTGTTCAAGAAGAAGTACCGTGCCAACCTTCATACTGTTATACCATTCAGGACATAATGAATTCCACAAAACCATTGACATCATGCCTGAACCATCAGCAACTTCAAAGTAAGCCTAAAGAAAAAAAGAGACAAAATACATTCATCTTTTATTTATCAACATTCCGGTATGTATTTATTTTGAATAATGCACCAGCTACTTGACTCATGAACAATTTCTCTGATGATTACAAAAGGATACAGAGTATGTTCCAAAACTTGTATTGAATACTAGAGTTGAAGAAATCCCTAATTTTCACAAAAGAATTCTTCCACAACTACCCCAGCCCAAACTCTTTATCTTTCCACTGCTCAGTAATGCTAGGTGATGCCAGTTTCATGCTATCGTTTTTGGAGGAGGTTGGGGAAATACCATGCACAAGAAACAATACTGAAAAGATTCTTCTTTATCAGAGAGAATGCTGTATTTAGAGTAACATTTCAAAATATCCATGAAGGAAAACCATATTTTGGAAGTTGAGATTTTACAGGACCATTTGCTAAACATTCCTGATGAAACACAATACAAGTTTGATTTTCAAGGAAAAAAAAAAAAAAAAAAAGCAGAAAACAATCTGCTTTGCAAACCACTATCTTTTCATTGAAGTTTTTTCACAACAAAGATATCTACCCTTTTTTTTTTTTTTTTTTAAACTGGGTGAACTTTGACTCCATAACCGAGCAGATCACTGAGCAGTGAAAAAGAGTTTTAAACAGTCTTATAATGGTCTTAAAAGCTAGCAATCCATTGAAAAAAAAAATCTCAGCTCTATCAAAATGCTTCATTTTATCCATTCACCTGTCAGCCTCAAAGAATCATCTGCTTTTGTTCATGCTACCATCGACTCTCTTTAATATATCACCATTCTTGAACATATTAACACCTTATGTGTTTTTCCCCCTTGCTGCTTCTAAAACCTTCTTTTCCTTATTCCAAGTTCAATACAGAGATTATACAAATCAACACTTGTTAGTTCAATCTAATATTTCTAATCAGTCATCCTTGAAAGTAAACTATTATATCATAGAATCTTTTATTATGCCTTCGGGTTTTATCTAATAACAATAATTCAACACATAACACTATCTAAAGGAGGAATGCATAAAGCAAAAAGCATGTAAAACCTGTCTCCTTGACCTAAATCAGCTCTGGGTATTGATTCTACAACTAATACCAAGAAATGTGACTGATCAACTGCCATGAAAGTGAGGAGTATCATCCAGACTGTCTACTGAGAAGCACCTCCAATAAAAAGACCCAGATTTATCTTCATGTGTAAAGGGAATGGAAACTTGGAATAAGAGAACACCACAGCCTTTCATCAAGACGTTTCATACCTCTCTCTCCCTATGGAAGAATTCATATGAGTTCTTTAAGCTCTTTGTAAAGTGTTGCCCTCCTGTACGGAGTCTGGCTGGGATGGAGTTTATTTTCTTTGTACCAGCCTGCATGGTGCCACGTTTTAGATCTGTGACTAAAATAGTGTTGGTAACACCAATGTTTTAGCTGTTGCTGAACATTGCTTGCAGTGTCAAGGTCTTTATTTCTCATTCTGCCACCCCAGCAAGTAAGCTAGGGATGGGCAAGAGGCTGGGAGGGGACACAGCCGAGAGAGCTGACCTGAACTGACCCTAGGGGATATTCCACGCCATGTAACATCATGCTCAGATATAAAATGGGCTGCTAGTCTTCTCAAAGTACCCACGGTTCAGAGACTGGCTGGGCATTGGTCTGCTGGTGAGAGGTGGTGAGCCTTTGCAACCCTAGTTTGGCCTTTTTTTCCCCACTTCCCTTTTCCCCTTCACTTCTTAAACTGCCTTTATCTCAACCCATGGGTTTTTCCTCGCTTTTGCTCTTCCAATGCTCTCCCTCACCCCTCTGGAGGGAGCAGTGCAGAGCAAACAATCAGCTGGTGAGTGCTTAGTTGCTGGCTGGGACCAACCCGCTACGCCTCCTGTCTTCACTTCCAAGAACCTCTACAGAAAAATATCACAAGTAAAACCTATTAGGAAAATCATTAGAGAATTTTACAGTAAAACAACCTATCTGGAAGTCACCAGGTGAGAGAATTAGGGAATAAAAGTTATTAAAATCTGTTTGCCTTTTTTTTTTTTTTTGCACAAGACAGACTAACTCCAACCTCCAAAGCATAGAGACCAGAAACATTTAAGCTGTTAAGCTACCAAAAACACCAAATATTTTTTTTTCTTCACAAAAAGCTCAACCGAACTATAGGAACTGAAACGCATCCACCAAAGTTTGTACATATGATCACTAAACTCACCATTTCCTACACTAAAGGGCTCAGCATTTTTGTAAAGGTAGCATTTTTAATACAAAGTAGCTACAACATAAATCTTAACTTTATGTGCTTACTATATGGGAATAACGATTTCCAAATATCCTACAGCTATTTGAGTGTTAACCTATGTATTTATCCCTCTTTACCTGATAAGGCATATCCAGTTTTTTCTCTGGTTTCCCGTAGTACCTTAGTCTAGATTTGTGCAGGACTCTCACAAGAAGTGGATGGAAGTGAACTCTGCTTCTCCAGGTCATTTCTAGCTGACCAAGAGAAGTCAGCTTGGAGACTAAGGTTAAAGAAAAAAAAAAAAAAAAAGACCAAAAAAGAGCATTCATGATTGAACATTTATGTTTTCAGGAGTACAGTGCGAAGGCCAAGGACGTCACATGTATTTTCTTAATGTTTCTCGCATTTAAAAAGGCTCATTTGCTGATACTATTGACCATGAAATCCTGTTCTGAGCCATCTGCACACAGCATAGTTTCGTTTTAATTGAAAAAGAGAGCGATGACACATTTAAAATGACACAGAAGTGTTGTCAGATGAGCAGAAGAGCTACTACAAGAGACACAGGTGTTAGCCTAGAAGGGCATCACTCTTGTGCAGAAGTCCCGCTTGCACCTCCCTCCTCACCAGGCTTCGTGGGCAGGCCTGAACCCCTCGGCACTGACCGCATTTTGGGTGGCAGCTTCCAGCCCAGTCCCACGGGCTAGCCAAGAGACTACTACTGGAACAGATGTTTTTGGCACCTCATAAGACTGGGTGCAAGCACCATAGCTCCCCATTGTCAGCCAAGCTTTCGTCAAGTTTAAAAACCCCTCTCAAAGCAAGACGAACGCGTGAACTGCGACGCGTACGGCACATCCGCATCGGCGCCCAACGCAACCGGGGGGTCGCTTCTGATCAGGGAGCCCGGCCTGG